GATAGCTGGGAATGCGGTGGCTCGATACGATAAGCATGGGACTGCGAACCACAAGATTTGTGGTTTAAGACCGCCAGCCGCTCCTCAAGAGAAAGATGAGGCTTTCTGTTCTTGCAGAGATATTTAAAGCCTTGGAAACCGTACACAGGGTCGCTATGAGTGGGAACCAACTTGAGGGCACTTAACAACAACAAAACTAATATAACAGTCCTGGTGTGGCACTGTAGGATAAACATTGGACTACTGACCTCAGAGTTAATCAGAACTGACTCAACAGCACTTAACAACAAAAATACCTATTTTACTTTAAAAAGTAAGGGTGTCTATATGTAAAGAATAGCATACATTGTGCGTTTCTTTCTCTTTTTTTCTAATATATAAAATTTTATATCTTCCAGCATTGGTGGCCTTATTCTGGACACAACTGTATCTGATCCAAACTTGGTTGGGATTGTCGTTTATACACCAGTTATTAATGGTAAGAATTAGATGAACTATTGTATGATCACATGAAATCTGTGTCATCTCTGAGGTAACAGTAGAAACTAAGAGTTCAGATTTTAACAGTTCTGTCTCCTCATCCCATCCATTTGTCCTCAGAGCCCTGGTTGGTGGTGTTCATGGCAGAATTTACATTCCCTGCTGTCAGTAAATAGAGCCCGTTTTAGAATCATGTGTTCCTTAATCTTATCACTGGGTGCTTGCTTGAGAATCAAGCATACCTGATCTCTGTTAATGGGGCAGAAAAAGATGTTTCACTTCTGGATTATTACTTACTTTGGGTTTACCTGCTGTTTTATGGTGTTTTGTTATGCCAGTTGTCATGGAGCACTTACAGTTCTCCAGGTGTAGGCATTGCTCGGAACAAATCAGTCACTGAAATCTATCACCCCTCTTCTAGTCCTTTAAAAATATGCCTTATATTTTTCCTCATCTATAAAAGGAGAATTATAATACCTAATTCCATACGAAGTTTTGTAAAAATTACATTTAATAAAATTATCATAATTTCGTCCTACTGGCTTTGGGGCTGGCTGTCATTTGTTGTAAATTTTGTACTCAGGAAAAACGGCTTAAGTTTGAGTATAGTAAAGTATAGCTCCATGCACTAAACACTGGACTGTGAATCACAGGGTCAGTGGTTTGAGTCCATCAACTGCTCCATGGGAGAAAGATGAAGCTTTCTACTACAAAAATTTACTGTCTCAGAAATCCTATACAGAGTCACTGTGAGTTGGAACCAACTCGACAACACTTACAATAACAAGGCTAATATAATTTAAAAAATAATTCCACCTGGAAAAAAACAGGTCACAAGATATACTACACATTTAGTATAAATTACTTTTGCATATTTATCTATAGGCAAATATGTTATACAAAGAGTTGTTGTTGTTGTTAGGTGCCATCGAGTCGGTACCGACTCATAGCGCCCTTATGTACAGCAGAATGAAATACTGCCCGATCCTGTGCCAACCTCACTACTGTAGCCATGCTTGAGTCCATCGATGCTGCCACCTGGCCAATCCATCTCATTGGGGGTCTTCCTCTTTTTCTCTGACCCTCCACTTTACCAAACATGATACCCTTCTCCAGCAACTGGTCCCTCCTGACAATATATGTTCCCCAAAGTCTGTTTTTTATCTCTAAAATTTCTACTGCACATTTTCATTTTTGTGAGCCTCTGCATTTTTTTCATTTCAAAGTTCATTTCAAAAACTGCCACTTGTAAAAAGGAGCTTCATGGATTTGTTTGTTAGGTTCTCTAGTGCTTTCAGTATATTAATTTACCTCTTTTTTTTTTGGTGAAATTGTTTTCAGTGAAATGTAGATAGATCAGAAAGTGTTGTTACTACAGTTCCAGTTCAGACACCAAACTTTGTGCCATCAAGTCCATTCCAACTCAACTTCAGTTTCATCATCATCATAGTGGCATTAGCTGGTCTCCCTTGTAGGTGTATGGATATTATCCTAATCAGTCAGCATTTGTACTTCAAGGTAGATCTTGAAATGCTTTTTGACAATGAATACAATGCCATTCCTCTTCAACTGGCATGGTAAGTCATATGATGGCCAATGTCCATCCATTTCAGCTCACTGATGCCTAGGATGTCGATCTTTATGCATTCCATTTCATTTTTGATGACTTCCAGTTTTCATAGATTCATACTTCATACATTCCATATGTAAATTATCAATGGATATTAAAGCTGTTTGTTCTCTTTTTGAGTTGTGCCCTATCAGCAAATGAAGGTCCTGAAAGCTTTGTTCCATCCACATCATAAAGGTCAACTCTTCTTGGAGTAGGCAGTCTTCCCAGTCATGTTGTGAGGGATTCATTTTCCAGCACAATATCAATGTTCCATTAGTGTTCAAAGGTTTTCAGTGGCTAACCTTTCAGGCATGGTTCCTCTCTCCTTTCTAGTTTGTCTTAGTCTGGAAGCTCTACTGAAACCTACCCACTAGGGGTGATCCTCCTAGTATTTAAAATACTGGTGGCATAGCTTTCAGCATCATGGCAATACACAAGCCACCACAGTCAGACAAGCTGACAGACAAGTGGAATCGACAATCTCCTTTGTTGTTGTTGCTAGGTACCATCAAATTGGTACCGATTCATACCGACCCTTTGCACAACAGAACCAAACCCGGCCTGGTCCTGTCCCCAGCTCCTAATCATTGCTGTGCTTGAGCCCATTGCTGCTGCTGCTGTACCAGTCCGTCTCATTGGGGGGTCTTACTCTTTCTCGCTGATCCTCTACTTTATCTAGCATGATGTCCCTCTCCAGGGACTGGTCCCTCCTGGTAACATGTCCGAAGTATGAGAAAAGTCCCTGGCTTCCAAGGAGCATTCTGGCGGTACTTCTTCCAACACAGATTGTATTATTTTTTTGGCAGTCCATGGTAATTTTAATATTCTTCCCCAATACCATAACTCAGATGTATCAATTCTTTCATGGCCTTCCTTATTCATTGTCCAACTTTCACATTCATATGAGGTTATTGACAATACTATGGCTTGGGTCAGGTGCACCTTAGTCCTTAAACTGACATCTTTGCTTTTAAACACTTTGAGGAGGTCTTGTGCAGCAGATTTGCCTAATGCAATATGTCATTTGATGTCTTGACTGCTGCTTCCATGAGTGTTAATGGTTGACCCAAGCAAAATATAGGAATCCATGTCGGCGGTCCAGTTAATTTCACCTACCTGTTATCCTAAAACTTGTCTCAAGACCTTGTATTCCTTGCCTGTGTACTAACGTGGGATCTATTTCACTTTTCTTAGTTGGTTTTATCATTTTGATGTCCTGTCTGTATTCTGCCTTTCAGAAATTCCTAAAACTTGAGGAAACTCAAGGACAGGGATATAGAACCTACATTTCTAAAATGTATTTAACTAAGTAATCAGTATTTCAAGTATCATTTCTTGTATCAGTGAACACATTTTAGGAAATGGTTCTCATAGGACTATTTAATGTTTTTCATACTGAATTCATACTGTATATTTTACAAACAACTGTTTTCAAACCTTTTGCTTTCAGGACACATTTAAATGTGTTTTTTGTTTTTTCACTGTGGGTACTACTGTGAAGATTGGGTATTCCAGGACACTTAATTTGGCACATGGAAATGTACTTAGACCAAGAGTCAGTCATTAGAACAGAGCAAAGGGATACTGAGTGGTTTAGAATCAGTAAACATATGCTCTAGGTTTGTATCTTTTCACTAGATTTATTCAATCTGCATGCTGAGCAAAGAATCCAAGAAGCTGGGTTATATGAAGTAATAATGTGGCATCAGGATTGGAGGAAGGATCATTAACAACCCATGATCTGTAGATGACACAACTTTTCTTTTGGAAGCCTAGAGGACTTGAAATACTTAATGATGAAGATTAAAGAATATAGCCTCCAGTAGATTGTGCTTCAATATTAAGAAAATGAAGCACCTCACAAGTGGGCCAATAAATAACGTGATAAATGGAGAAAAGATTGAAGTTGTCAAAGACTTCATTTTGCTTGGATCCACAATCAACACTCATGGAAGCAGCAGTCATGAAATCAAATGACATATTGCTACTGTACAAGACCTCTTAAAAGTGTTCAAGAGCAAAGATGTCAGTTTTAGGTCTAAGGTACACCTGACCCAAGCCATGGTGTTTTTGGTTGCATCATACACATGTGAAAGTTGGACAGTGAGTAAACAAGACCATAAAAGAATTGATGCACTTGAATTATGGTGTTGGAGAAGAATATGCTCGACTGTAAAGTAGGTTTGAACCACAAGGTATGTGATTCAAGCTCACCAGCTGCTCCTTGGAAACCCTATACAGGATTGCTATGAGTCAGAACTGAGTTGACAGCACTTAACAACAATATCTTACTAGTGTTGTTGTTCACTGTCTACCTGTCTTATACTTGACTGAAAGAGGGTGTGTTCTTTTCTAGACCTGAAGGGTGGTCGAGGGCCACAGTCTCAGGTTCCTTCAGTCTCTTTCTTATCAGTAAGCCTGGTGGGGTTTTTGTTTTTAAGTAATTTTGAGTTTTTGTTCACACATTATGCTGCTCTATCCAGAACCTTCTAATGTGATCCCATTCAGAGCAATTGGTGATGGTAGCTGGATACCATATAGTTCTTGTGGTCTCAGAGTTGTGGAGACTGATGTTCACATGTTCTATTTGTCCATTCAACTAGTTGATTCCAAGCATCTTCATTCTCACCACTCTTGTTCCACACATAGACAGACTAATAGCTGCACCTTAGACAGCCACTCATGAGCTTTTAATATACCAGACGCTACTTAAGGTTCGTTGCCTTAAGATGTTTGATGCTCTCTAAGAAGTTGTCATCATTTTGCCAGCTGTGTGATCCACCACATTCACAGTGGTGTTTGCAGGAAAGGTAAATACTCATGTACCAATATCCTCTTTCACACTCTTGTATGTCTGTGGGTCATCTAAGTGTGTACACACACACACACACACACATATGTATATATACACACACACATGCATATGCACTTACATGTACATATATACACATTCTTATTTTTCTTCCCGTAATCCTTTAGTTTGTGTCTCTGTCCATGTGTCGACCCCCAGAGTATTGTTCCAAGTTATAGATATAGGTCATTATTTACCTCTAT